GTCCCGGCCCGGGGGGGGGGCCGGGGAGCCGCTGTCACACCGCACGTCACCGCCCTGCCCCCCTTCCCCTCCCACCGTGATGCTCAGCTGACTTCTGCACCGCTCAGCCAGGCCACCGCAGGGTAGCAAGTGGCTGTTTGGGCCCCACACTCCCCATGCAGCATGGGCTGCCCAGAGGGAACAGCCAGCATTTCAGCGTTACAGACTCACAGACATTGGGCTACTATATATATGATAACTGAAATTCAAAATATCTCCCAAAATAACAAAATCGAAATAGTGCGTCCTCACTATTGGCAAGTCTCGAAATGAGTCCGAGGCAGGCTTTTTAGTGTGAATGTGCTACCTCAACTGAGAGCCCCAGGAAGCACTACGGAATAATTAGTTTGAATTACTCTGGGAAACTGTTATTTCGATGTAGCGGCACAAGAGCTAAAATTTCGATGTAGCAGCACTGGAATAAAATTAGTGTTATTCCCTGAGGAAAGCAGGAGTACAGATTTAGAAATAACCAGCCTGTTGTTTCAAAAGAACGGGCTTGGTAGTGTGGACGCTCTGCTTATTATTTCAAAATAAGGGGAAGCTATTTTGAAAAAACTCCCTAGTGTAGACCAGAGCTTAGAATCTAACAAAAATATGTACAGTATCATGCGCTATCACGGGTAAAACCCACTTCCTCGGATGAAAAAGTTCTTTTCCCGCCCCATGAAAAGACAAATGCTTTCTTTTTCATCCTCTCTGAATCCTTTTCTCTACCCCTTCTCCCTTTCCTTTTCCCCTGCCTCCTTCCCCACTGACAAAATAAAAAAAGGAGTGAAAACCCCCCAAATATTTGCTTTAGGTTGCAGGGTTTTTTTTGTCAAAATGGCAAAACATTTCAAGAGAAACAAATTTTTTCCCCATGAAAAAGCCATTTTGGGAAAAGAAGTTTTTGGCTCAGCTCTCTCAGTGATGCATCCTGAGCTTAGTGCTGTCGTCCTTTTGGTATTGATCTGAGAGCTGTGGCTGGGAAGGGGACGCTTATGAAGCTGAAGACCTGACAGCCATTCGTCACTTGCTGCCTTGTTTCATCGAACTGGAAATGACATGCAAAGCCATTTGCGTGGAAGCTGCTATGCAAAAGCAGAGTGTGTTCTGCTGGGGGGCGTTCCATCCTGTGCTCCATTCCACTGTGCCGTGGCCGTGGCAGTGTTTAGCAGCATGACGTGGCTGGCTGGCAGTGGCAAGTAATCCACACCAGGGAGAGATTGCCTTTCCTTATAACAATTCTGACAGGCACTGGTGCAGCACTGCAGGAAATGAACACACTTGTATAGTCTATTGGGAGACAGCCCTCTGAAGCACAGTTGGATTTGGTTGCTTCAGTGTCGTCCGAAGATGAATGCAAAGCAGGAGGAAAATCGATGGCTGGATGAAACACACTAGCAATCAGGCCCAGGGCTTGGTGCGTGTCAGGAGCTCTTGTCTGACACAGGGAAGATGAGGTACTGGGGAGACCTGCAGTCCTAGGCTGGGCTGCGGCAGAGGGGGACACACTGTAGCTTAGCAAAGGGATTTGTGGAAAAAGGTGGGGTTTTCTAGCTGCTCCCCCTTTTGGGGCCAGGCTGGGCTGGCCCACCAGTATAAATTAGAGCAGTCTGACGACTGCAGAAAGTTATGCAAGCTGCCAACAGACCCAAGGGCCCCAGAATCGCTAGGGTATCTGCCACTTTCTCTTTTCCCCAGGCATTTCCCTACCTTGGTGGCTTTATGCCACCAAGGGATCCCCTGAGCCGAGGCGATTTTCCAAGTGAGGTAAGTAGGCGTTAGGGCAAGGGTGGGCAAGAGATGGCCCACGGGACAGATTCGGCCTCCCAAGCCCTCCTGCTCCTCTACACCCAGACCAATTCAGAGCTGGGGGCGGGGGAGTGCACAAAGTCATTCACCATTCAGAGTGGTTGGCGGCTCCCTCTCCCCCCCGCCAGGGGCGCACGGTACCTAGAGGGAGCCACCAGTCATTTTGAACAGCAGATGACTTCACACACTTCCCTTACTCCCACATGCCAATTAGCCTGAGGATGGGGGAGCGTATGAAGTCTCCTCCTCTGCCAGGGGCACTTGGCCCCTTTCCACCTGATGCTCC